TTCAAGATTTCTTTGTTTTCAAACAGCCAATCAAAAAAATTCGAATTGACTAGAAAATCCTATGTCCCCAGAGTCCTTCGATTCTCGTGCCAAGGCTCTACCGGCTAAGAGGAGCGAAAAGAGCTATGGGGACGAGAATGGACGAACGACAGTGAAAAAGAAGTCTTGTCAACTGCATTAAAATCTGCAACACGAAGGTTGCGTAAAAGCGCAGTTTTGACTTGATATCAATTCAAGAGGCTCTCAAAGCTTTTCAAAAGAGCAGCCCCCGTCTGTTTTGAACAGGGAACTGAGCAACACAGATTTCTCTGTACAGGCTCTCTCTCTCTCCCGGAAGAAGCAAAATCATACTAAGTTCTGTCAGCGAGAAGAGACCGGCAAAGCTGAGGAAAACGTGTTAGGACAGAAACCGTTAAAGAGTTGACATTTCAATCACTTGTAACAGATGCTCTCTTGTGTTTTATGTCGTTGTTGCTGCTGTGCTTTCTTCGTTTGTTTTGTACAGTTTTGTTTTGTTTTTATGAAACAGAATCTCCAGTCATCTTACATCCGTCTCCCGCTATCACAACGGCATAAACAGTTGCCGTTTGTTGCCTCTGTTTCTAAAAAGAGAAACAGGCATGGAAATGCGCCAAAAATGTCATACAATCACGGTCGTCTATTACTAATCCTTAACAAGGATTAATGACAAAACAATATAAGCATCAGCTGATGGGAACATCCGATGCTTCGAGGTTTAAAAACAAAAAAACAAAAAAATTTTAATGAGTATTAGCATAGGTAATCATACGGTTTCGAGTTTAATTTGGAAGTAATTTGCAAGGGTGAGTTTTCCAAATAGCTGAAATTGCACGAGCCGCTTCGGCGAGTGCAATTTCAGCTTTTTTAGAAACTCACAAGTGCTAATTAATTCCAAATTGAACGAGAAAAACGGTATGATCACTTATTAATAATATAAACATGAAAAAATTCGAGTGGAGCAAATGCTGGAAGATCTTACTTGAAGCCATTTTTTTCTCATTCGCACTAAATGTTCGTCAGAAATGGAAAAACTGCAAAGTTTTCAGAACAAATTTGCGAAGGAAATTAAATTAGGTAAGATGTCTTCTTCAGAAGCTCTGAAGTGTCTGAATTGGCTCCCTCTGGCTGGAAGACGTTTTCCTCACCGATGTACCAGAATCAAGTACTTTTCATGTATATTATTAATAGCTTTAACCTTGCAAACTCTGGATTAATTGTTTTTAACAGCTTTTTTTCTAGTTTTCACCTCTTCTGAGGCCTTAGTCACGTTATTCTTAAAAACTTTCGCCAAAGCTCTTGTTTAAACAAACGTCTCTTCTAAATAGGCTTCGTCCATTTCAACCATAACAGTGTGCGCTGAGAAACTTTACAACTAGGGGTTGTCACTGAGAAGTGTGTGCTGCCGTTAGTAGCGTGTTTGTATGTAAGTATGACAATGGGAACTTCAACGGAAATATAACTAATTTATTTCTAAAACAACATGGTTACACGTTTATTGAAAGAGTGTCAGTATCAGGTGCCATTTCATTAGTTAGAGCATGTAAATACATGCGATCTCCATGAAATAAGAAAGCATCGATATCTGTTTGCGTCCAAGAATCGACCGAATCCGATCGATTGAAAAGCAAAGCTGAAAGTGACATAAATACACACTGTCGGCCTCTAGAATGCTCACTGGAAGCTTCATGACCTTGATGAATGCTTCCTCGAATAGAAGTAATCATAACAGATCGGCAAAAGAGATCAAAGAAACGAAAAAATGCCACAGCTCACCTGTAAACAGCGTAAACCTCGATTCCAGTATTCCACTGCGAGAAAAAGCAAAGCTGCAAGTGAAACAAATGCACACAGTCGGCCTCTAGAAAGCTCACTGAAAGCTTCATGACCTTGATGAATGCTTCCTCGAATAGAAGTCATCGAAAGAGATCGGAAAACGCGCTCAAAGAGAACAAAAGAGCTGCAAAACTCACCTGAATAGATCGCAAACGCTTTATCTTTCTTGTGAAACACGAGAGACGTCAAAACGGAGCACAGGTGAGTTTCATCGATTATAAGGGAACTGCTGATTGGCTGCTGGCTCGTANAACTCACCTGAATAGATCGCAAACGCTTTATCTTTCTTGTGAAACACGAGAGACGTCAAAACGGAGCACAGGTGAGTTTCATCGATTATAAGGGAACTGCTGATTGGCTGCTGGCTCGTATTTTAAAGTGGATCTCCTGATTGCTGATAGGCTAATTCTCTATCCGAACCATAGATCGATCAAACGAAACTTCTCGTATGATTTCAAGAATATGAAGGCTGCCTATCGGCAGCAATAAAGTTTCTCGAAGACTGATACATAAGAGTTATCACTCCCGTAGTTTACACACAGAGTAGTTCAGAGGATATCAGTTGATTAATTAATGTGGCACTAATGGGTTATTTGCAATTGAAATAAAATATTTTGGTTAAAATCGAGGTTAGTTCACAGCGCGGTACATTCCCTAGGGGATTATGTAGAAAGCAGGGCGATAAAAATAATGCAGTGTCTGTATGCGAAAGGAATGTCGCAAATTTCGAGGCCAAGAAATTTGGCCTGTAAACGTTTTGACAAGGCATAAATTGGTGGCTTCAGACAAAATTTAGAACCGAATTTAGCCGTGTGGAAAGAGTGCAGGAGTTACACTTTCGTTGCATTCTCAGCGTTCTTCTGGCTGGAAGACCGTTTTCAAGTCAGAGGAAAGTTTTCCTCGATGAACCCCTGCAAAACTGAAAATTGAGCGTTTTCACGTCGGTTTATCACTTTGGTGATCCCATGCAATGAAACTTCTCATCTTTTCAGGAATGAGTTCCCATCTTATGCAAAACTTTCCTACTGTTTGCGAACACTAATAAAGCGACCACAAAACCGCTGTTCAAAGATAAATAACCTCGACATTTGTACCAAAGCAACAAACAATCACTCCAAGGAACAACAACAAACCAAGCAATTTCTTTTCTCTTTTGATTTTAACGAATTTTCTCTATGAAATACTATAGCAGAATGAAACAGACCCTTTCACTAAACCATGCAAGAAGGGCCGCTCTGAAAATGATCTCTTTAAGCAAGTTTCTTTGATTTCAAATAATTTCGAACCCACTAGAACGTCAGGTCGCGCTAAGGGAAAATAAACAACGCGAGGTTATCCGACGAAACCCTCGAGAAAAACACTGAGACAACGTGAATTGAACATGAAATGCTCGACGTTACATGAATTTTGTTTACATCGTGTATCTACAAACGCGTGCGATGTACAACAAACATAGAAGGGATGCTATTTTGTTTCATGAACGAAAAATTGGAACAGACGTGTTTTTCTCTTGTTCTCTCAGGGATCGTGGTAGGATCAATAAAAACATAGTATTTCTATCACTGGCTAATGGTTTTAATCCTTTTACTTTTCAGAGTCGAAACTGGAGAAAAAAAATATTCCAGACACTGACAAACGAATTGCTCCAAATGGACGGACACACTAGGGATTTAAAGTTTGAAACACCTTGTACAGCATAATAAACATTATAACATAGCGCGCGCGCCAGTCCTATCTAATTCCTATTGAGCCATCATGAACAAATTAACAAATAGATTCCATGTTGCCGTGCGTCTGTTCAGTAATAGATCACAGATGACGTAAAAATGTGG